ATTAGGCTGTATCAAAAAAATCAAAACTATTTTTTTTCTGAAAAATATACTGAAAATCTTGTTCGGAATACCGAAAAAATACGCCAGTTTAACGGACACCTCTTAATTTTAATATTAATTTTAATATTAATATTGCATGTCAGTTCCGGAGCGTACCATTCAGCTACTAGAAGTACTTCACTAAGTTACTCTTTAGATAATAGTGTAGGCGCTGTATGATCTTTTCGTAAAATTTTGAGGTCGGTGTACAAAATATGATTACTTCATATATTTTGACTAGCTGAAACCGAATATCGCAGTAATTTTTGCGGGATTCCCGGGCCATCTTTTGTTTATAGCCATTTGTTTAAACAATCATTTGAGAAATAATTTTTTTTGAGATCGGATATTTTTTTTCCAATATTTTAGGCAATTTTAAGATGAAAATTACTCTTATAAAATTTGCCGTAAGTTGATAGTTTCTGAGTTATAAATTTTTAAAAATTGAAAATTCTTGATCTTCAACAATTTTGATGATTAATTACAAATTAATAAATTACTTAACACCAGGTTTCATGCACGTGATTGCAAAGAAGAATACTCAAAGTTTCTATTGAAGCAATAACATTCGGTTATAATTTGTATTAAATAGAAAAAACGTGATCAAAGTTAGTGCATTTGTAAGAGCTATTTATTAGAACATAAAGTATAAAAAGTCGCATAGATCAAGCATAGATCAAGTCAGATCTATTTATATCTAATCAAGTCAGATCTATTTATATCTAATCAAGCCAGATCTATTTATATCTAATCAAGTCAGATCTATTCATATCTACTTTTCAATTTCATTTTGATCAAACTTGATCTGGTTTGATCTAAGCAAATCAAATTAGATCTGTCCATATCTACTTAGATCTAAATTTAGATCAAATCTGATCTGCTCAGATCAAATTTGATCAGAGCAGATCTAAACTTTTCTTCCCGGGAGGTCAACCCTTTAAATACTTCAAAGAATTAATGGAAACCGAAAAAGTTTTAAAAAAGCTAATTTGTCCCAAAATATTCTAATAAGTATAATAGATGCTCCAAAAAAGTAAAAATTCCTTATAATTTATAATAGTTTTAACTTTGACCTCGAATAACTTTTGAAGGAGTGCATTTATCAAAAATTTATAAGAGACTTTTTTTTGTCGAGCATTCAATTTCCTGTAAGAACATGTCATGGTTTACCAGTTCGATAATTCATTGCAGAGCTGCAAAATTCCAAACTTGAAGAATAAGATTTTCCCATGTTATTTCAATAGGAAATGGAAAATCGGGATGCGGGACATCTTAATATTAAAATTAAGGTTGCACGGACAGTACCCCGTAAGTCATAATAGAATCTAAATTTTTTCTTTATAAAAATTAAAAATTTTAATACGAAAATTCATTACTATAATTTAACCGTTATCTAACAATATTATTATTTAAATTAATTAATTAATTTAATCAACAAAAACAATAAGTAGTTAACGTTTGACTCGAGTATTTTTTCACAAAACTTAGACCTGGCAACATCGCGCTTAACAGCTGTTTATATTTACCTCGCTGTGTAGCTGAGTTAGTGTTAAGTTGTAAGAGGTTATTTGTAATAGCAGAATGAGTAATGCAAATCAATTCAGACACAATGGGAAATTTGCAAGAAAAAGTATTGTAAATTGGAAAAATAATGTCAGTAAAAGCGCGAAAAAACTCCATGAAAAGTATAAGAATGTCGGCGTACAATTACCAACCAATCGACGCATCGTTGATTTGGAGAAACTAGCTACTGCCAATTACATTTTTAATGTTATAGTCATATTTTTAAATGTATTTTTTTTCTACAGCTTAATAAATTGAAAACAACAAATTCTTTTTTTTTATAAGTAAGTATATAAACATAACCCACAGAAATACAGAGGAAAAATTAAAATTCAAAGTTGGCGCGTTCTATTCTGTGCAACGTTGCCACACTGCGCTGAATCACGTGGTTTAATTATTTTTAAGTATGTCGGACTGATATTTTCGTGAATTTCTGATCTTTTGAATTAAAATACCTTTAAAAGTCTTCGGCAGAAAATATTAATTTTAATTTTAACGTATTCTATGAAAGTTGATTGATTTAAAGATAAGTTTTTTGTTTTTTAATCTTCCTATGGATTAGTCACATAAATCGATAAATGTGCATCTCGTCAACAATCTCTATAACCTACATGTTAAATTTCTATTTTTTAATAATTTACTAAACAATTACCCTTCGACAGATCTATTCCAAAAAATTAATTTAGACGTATAAGATAGCTATTTATAACATATAAAAAAATTAGCTTCTGATCTTCAAAAGTGCATTAGTGTCCGTACAACCTTAAGAGCTGTCGGTTAAACTGGCGTATTTTTTCGGTATTCTAAACAAGATTTTCAGTATATTTTTCAGAAAAAAAAATAGTTGATTTTTTTGATACAGCCTAGTATATATATATATATATATATATATATATATATATATATATATATATATATATAT